ATGACGACTACTACTGATTCTGCTCCTACTCGTCCTCCTACGCCTGTGCCGTCGCCTGCGTCCTACACTCCTACGCCTACTCCCAATACTCCGACTCCTAGTACCACTGCCAAAGTGTCACTGCCACTGTTACTGCTGCTGCTGCTGCTGCTATAGCACTACTTCTGCGGACTTGCACAGCTGAGAAGTCTAAGGCTGCAATGGCTGCGGGACCAGCATGCCATGGCTGCGGAACAATCGACTATCACATTTAGCAGCTCGTGCAAGCTCCCGCCTCCGCGGGCGTCAGTTGCCGATCAAAGTCCTCCGCCTTCGCAGCTTTCGCCTTTCCAAGCTGGCAAGGACACTACGCAGAAGCATCCTCACACGATTACCTGCACTTCACCGCTCTGCCTCCGCTACAGTGGCCTTTGGCACAGGCGAAGCCTTGGTCCGACTCTCACAATTCTCTACCTTGGAGAAAAACAGCTTCATGTTCGTGCTGTCACTCTGAGTGTGTCTTGCTGGCCAATAAGCTGCGTGTTGCTTTGTCGGCTGATTGATCTTCAACTTGCCGGCCTAGGAGGTTCGCGCGACACAACCCAATCTTCGCTCACGTGCTTGAGACGATGGCGTCGGGTGCTGCAGCCTTTGGTCTGCTGGGCCTCCGCTGGCAAACGACTGCGGGAGTGGGCACGTCAGACGTGCAAACATTGGTAGATTTGAGATACGCGCACAGGCTTCCCCAAGGTTTTTGCCTTGAATTCCTGCACGAGGGCATGTTTGCACGATCCGATGAGCCTCTGCTTTCTGATGCACTTTACATCCTCAAAGTCCGCCAGTTTGCACCACGGCTGCCGTAGCGCATTTTTCTGCAACAGTTCCAGAGAGCTGTAGAGCAATGTAACGCACGAGGACGACACTGTGACGACACCAAGCTGTTGCAACCTGCCTGTTTGGGATGGACCAGATAGCGGTCGTACAGGAACGTGAAGCACATTTTCAAGTTCTGGCGCAATGAGATGCGCTTTCTGCACTCGAGAACCACGTTCACTTCGGAAGTCTGTTATTCAACATCAACTAGAAAGAGGCCTCCCGCTCTCGGAACTGGACCTGCGCGACTGCAAGACTGCAAACATCGCTTGCTGATTGGAGAACTTTGGATTCCGAAGGCTTCGCTGAAGGCTTCGCTCAGGCCACGGCAGCAACGGTAACCGTCGGTTCCCTGCGCTTGTCGTCCGGATCGACTTTCCTCCACAATGACGGCATGGGGAAGTTTGTGGGTACTTCGAAACGAACGTCCTGAAGAAGACTTCAGCGATCTTCACCTCTCAAACCACGTTCCGCTGGTCGGTCCCGCTGGCCGCTGGAATGTGTGCTCGAAACACTCAGACACCGACTGCTCCCCAGGATTTGAGAAAGCCCATCCAGAAGCTGCCAGGGTACAAGCCTGAAGCGACTCCACTACATCCTACTGACACCAGATGCCTGGTACTGCAATCTAAGCCCGAGACCAATGCTGGCAGTCTTGGCTCTGAAATCTGGATCCGAGATGATCCAGATCCTGGCGCGCCAGTTGCAGGGATGAAACTTTTAAATCCTCCACTGCTCTCTTGGGTGCTGAGATGCCGGCTGTGGTAGTTCCAGGACAATCGAGTCGCACGACCCGCCCTGATCAAAACCACAAGTTCTGCTGCGGGTTGCATCAAGCCGATGCGACCCAGAGATTGCAGAGAGCCTCTGATACATCAACCATGGGAACCACGTCAGACATGGGAATCGGAACCGCCCCTGTGCCGGAGCCTCTTTGAGACGGACTGCTAGCGAGCTGATCCTTTCCTCAGTGAAGAAAAGGAGCCTTGCACCCCTCGTATTAACCATGCCTGCACGCAACATCACACAACAACCTTTTCAGCAGCTCACCGGATCCATGTCGTCCGAAGTCTCCAAGACCTGCTTGCAGGCAACCGCATCGCACAGCTTCCGTACAGCCCGAATGCATGGGAACCAGCACGCACCGAGGTAGCGACGTTAACAACAGTTGCCAACATCTGGTGCTCGGACACCTGCCGCGCCGAATCCCAGGTTTTGCTGAAACATGTGCCGGGGCTTTCAATGATCCCCGCAGCCTCCTTCACGTCGCCGACACATAAGCCTGGCAGCACATGTTAACAAAGCCTGAGAATGGTAATTGTTCCCGCACACTCTGCTGGCGAACTTGGGAACACAAACATGCAAAGCTTCAAGGATTCGACATTCTTCGGATGCGGAGAGGGCGTGCTGCGAGTCGTGACCGGAACGAGATACCCGGAGATTCCCGCGGAAGATGTTTTCGCTGGACGGCATTCCAGACCGGACCAGACCCGGCCCACTTAACTGTTCCAAGATGCTCGTATGCGTTTAGGCGTGCCGTGGGACCACAGGCGCCGTGCCATGTTTATCTGGCAGCTTCGAGCAGAAACTCACGGTCCGATGTCGCCCATAGTCAAAGGCTCAACTTTATTGAAGCTGTTCTGCGCCGCACGGTGGGCTCGCAATCGCGGTGTCATGTTTATCCAAAGCTTGTCCAGCCTGCGCCACCCCGCAGTCCAATCCGCGAGCGTTCTTGCTGCCAGAATGCTACACGACATGAAGTCGATTAGGTGCCCAAAATCATCGAAAGCCACGAAGATCAACCCTCAAAACTCGTCGAGGGCCGTGAAGATCTTCTCCTTGGCGGCCAAGGGTAAGGGAGGCATATCCGATGCGACCTCGACGACGAAGAAGTTCGGAGTCCTCATTCGACATAAGCATCCACACAACAAAGCGCGGCCGAATACAGAGTCAAGGCGAATACGACCACCCAGACAAAAGCAAGGGTACCAGCGTCCAATTCAAAGCTGCAGCGACCAGTAAACGGAGGATTTGCCAAGATATTACTATCCGATGCCTGCCGCCTCCCAGAGGAGGCGAGGTCGAAAAACCCGTTGCGAGAGGGGCCCTTATCTGCAGCCTCGAGGGCAGCTCTACGGTGTGCCACTTTTGGTGGAGCTATAAAGTAGATGCTCGAAAACCGAGCGAAGAAATCACGTTTGGATTAGCCGAGGCCCTTCCGTTCATTCCAAGCATACAGCCAGGCGGGTGCGTGCCGTTCGAGGCTCCAAAGCAGACGCAGGATCGCCAATCCGAAACAGCTGGAACCGAGGTACACGGTGCTGAGGGAGCGCAGGAGTCCACCCTCACGCTGAGAAGGAAAATGGAGGACACGAGCAGGAAGGACGAAGTGCAGCACCAAGCATGCTGAGCTAATAAACCCTACCAGCTCCGAACCAGAAACCAGAACTGGGAACCATGTACAGCTTCGAGTGGACGCTCACCTTCGGATGTCGCTCCTATGTGTCTCGAAAACATGATACAGCTTCTGCTTCCATCTTTGCATGAAAGCATCTCGCAGCAAGAGTTCCATGAGATTCCAGAATGATCACGACAGTCATCGGTTACGACCTGCTGTCTAGAGTCTAGAATGCTGTCGCTTGCAAACATCACCACGGGCAGTGCAAGGATAAATGTGTTGACAGTGCTGAGGACAGGAGCAGATGGCTCGCAGCTTACAACTACAATTTCATACGACAACTTTCCAGTCCACATGCTGTAGTACGCGGTGGACGTGCGTCTGGCAATCTTACACTGGAGTCGGTTTAGGAACCCGCTTTTGGCTGGAGTCCCGGTGCCTGCTTGCTGAACCGTATGGCATGCTGCAAGTCCGCATTTAGAGTTCGGCATCAGCAAATGTTTGGGAAACAACCCCGATCCGCTTCAAGCTCCATGCATCTGTCAAACCGAACATCACTGTAGAGCTGCATGACGTCCTGTTGTGGCAGTGTTGTCGTCTCGCTCCAAGCGACTATAGGTGACCGCTGCGACAGCTCTTGCGGTTTCCCCTTCGAGCGGCATCCAAACAATCACAGCAGCCTTCCACAACGCACAAGCTAGCCAAGCTGGGTTGCAGAGCCTGCAGCCTGCAAGGCTGAGTCAAAACGACTCCAGTGCTGTGACACAGCCGAACAACCCTCCGTTTGGTGACGGCAAGGGGCGTTGAAAACCAGAAAGTCTCTGCAACACGATGCGATGCCGGGAGCCTGCTGGTAGGTCAGCTTTGAGGGCCGCAATCAACTCGCGTGCATTGGTCACCTTTATCTTGAGCAAGTTCTGGCTGGGACTGAGATCGCATCTCGTGGCGATAACCGAAGCCCCACTGGGCCCGGACTGCATCGATCCGATCACGGCAATCCTTGGCTCTGGCCGCTGGCGACAGGAATTCTAGTCCTCACTCAGGCACCGGCATCGAAGCGGACCAGCAGATCCCCAAGACCAAGGAGTTTCCGCAGAAGTACCTCCACCTGGCAAAAGAGCCATATGCCAAAAGAACAGCGGCATCGAGTACAAGTACCCGTAAGTACCCCATGTCAAGCCTGCTCTGCCGTGAGGTTCCACGGATTCCTTTGGGAGAGAAGAAGGCACACAAAGCGAGCTGAGAAGGACGAGTGCGTCTGTTACACCAGCAACGCTCGTAACGGCCAAGGAAACCGCGCAGAGCCGCCGGAAGGCTCGATGGGTTCCAGCCGAATCCGAACCTGTTACGAGCACAGTCCCTAGAAGCGCCGTGTCGAGGAAGAACTACACTTCCATCTTTCGAGCTGTCGGCTCGAAGTGCGCAGAAGATCAGTGGAAACTGGTTTCGCTTCGGCAAGATCCATCTGTCATCCTGGCATGGCATGAGCCACACAAACTCCTGCTGGCTGCCCTGCTCGACACTTCTTGATCTTCTGAGTCTTTTCACGCCTTGGAGAAGCTGCCCTTCTCCTCGTCGTAGCAGATGAACGGGACAATGTCGTCGATTTGGTCCTGTCACGGATTGTGGATTTCCCTGTTCCAGCAGGTGACATTTCATGCACAGCCTCTGCAGCAGGCACCACCTCTGGACCTGAAGGGTGCTGCAGCAAGTGCAACTATACCAGTCTCTGGGCATCTGCTTCTCGAATTGGGATGTCTTTGGCAACCCAACCTGCCCAGGTAGTCTCTTTCCTGGAAATCCAAAACAGCTCGCCTGCATCCGCTTCAGTGGCTTGCAGGTTGGCTGGCTGCGCCTGCACGAGCTCTGCAGCGAACATGTTCAAGCTGCATGTATGATCTCTAGATATCTCTAGACTCGAGACTTCTTTGCGTTGGAACAGAGTCGATTCCACGCGAACACTTCATGCGGGTCTTGCACCGACAAAAGCGCAGTCCCATAGCCTGCACGTCTCCGTCGGCCTTGGCATCTCCAGCATCCTCTACTTTGACCTGCAAGACACTGGCCAGTGCGTAGTGCACAAGCATCATAAGTGCCGGATCCACGTCATCTCTAATCACCTCCAAAGCATGGACCAAAGCCAGTAATTCCTTTATCCGAAGCGCGGTGAGACGTCCAAGAAGCAGCAGGGCGCGGCCAAGCTGTGGCCGGTCTCACGAAGCGAAACTCTGCCAGATGGGGTCGAAGCCATTGAGACAAACACCTATGCTGCGCTGTCCATGGTCGAGGTCTTGGGAAACAGATCGGGTTCATTTGTATTCAGCATGTCACCTCCCCTGCCTACCCATCACCATGCGAAGTATATGTTCGAAGCCACATCTGGCAGTGAATACCGCTGAAAATTTGCTAAACACTCTGTATATTCAGCAAGCGACGCGCTGACCTTGCTCCGCGTCCCCTGTACCACCCTCCATCCCTATGGAGGATTGTTAAGCGGTGAAGCTTTTGCATAAAAAATACATTCATACGCTCTGTACAAAACGATGCAAGGCAATTGCGCAGGCTGCAGACGAATCAGCACGTGGAACAAGCTGGGTTCAACCTATCCTTGACAACCACCTGTCTGCAGCGCACGCACCCTGTAGAGCCTGCACGCAATTTCGTTGTAAAATACGAATAACGTTCAGCTTTCAAGCATCGACATGCCGCTGATAGCAGAGCTGGAGCTTCTTTGAAGCTGAAGATATGCCAGCATGGGCATGATACCAACTGGACTCGCGAACAAAATCGAGCCTGGTGCATAGTACAAGGCCACGGGGCACTGCAATGATAATTAGTTGGAAAATGAAGAATCGGACGAGTGGCTGCCAGAAGACATCCAAGTTTGTCGGAAGAAAACGACTGAATGCAGTCGCACAAGAGAACGCCCATGATGATCATCCAGTCCGTGCCACCGAGAGCAAGGGATTCCCCTCTAGCTGGAAGTACTAATCTGCCGCCTGGCAGAAATGATGTCACTGAAAACTTCGGGCGCGACCTCCACCTCTTTTCGGAACATGTTCATGACCTTGAGGTGCCTTTCATGCAGAATCCGATTCGGCTTCAAGGGCACTCCCTTAGGAATCTCCTGGTTCCAAGTTGCGGAGTCCCAGGACGACTCTACCATCTGTGACTTCTGAATCTTCAACTGCTCCACGACATCCTTGGACAATACTCCGATTCGATGGCTGCCTGGTCTTTGCTGCCCGTTAGCATCAAGGGGCTGCACGGGAAGGCCTGCTGCACAGCCCATGATTTCTGTCCTTTTTTTTGTCTGAGAAGCAACTTGAGCCAAACCTCGCTGCATTCTGCTGGCACTGAGGCTGATTGCCATCAACGGGAGCACTGCTGCAGCTACTGTCCCACAGGGCATGTCAATGTGTATTCGTGTTTGTTGCATCGCGGCCTCCCGGGTGGCCTCCGTGTTCGAGCCGTTTTGGTCAGGCTGGTCGGCCTTTCAACACCCAGGGTCTGCAGAAAGGAGCAAGTGGCTCTCCATGCAGTCGAGCCTCTTTGCCCACCCCCATGGCGCGGGAGAGCTGGCTGGCCAAAGACTCATCCTGGTCGGTACCCAGTTCGACCGGGACCCGAGACTTTGCAGGGAGGCCTCCACCTCCACCTCCTCTGCACCCTCCACGCCCTCCATCGATCCTGCAGGCGTGCAAGCATCATTGCACCCGCTAAACTCTTCTATAAGTAGTTGCTTCCCAAGCTCACGTCTAGCCCGACAGACACACTGATGCCAAACCGGTGAATTAATCAACCCGATGCTTCAAGCAAACTCACGACCCACTGCGACCTCTTCAATCAGCAACCATCTCGGAGCACAGCCGTTCCGAGTGCGGAAGTTGCACGAGTGAGTCACGAGTGTATCTTACTGGGAACTACGACACTGCTCAATTCGAGCACGTGGGAAGGACTGGTCAAATTTTCCTATTTGTGCAGGCACGGCTGGAATGTGGCACCATGCTCAATCTTGTTGACTTGTATTTTGAGCTGGGAAACTATGGCGGCGCCTGGATGAGTCCGAACATAAACGTAATCTCGAGGTCAGTCTGTCCGGATGGTGCTTCGGAGTCTTGACTGGCACAGCTGCAGTGGCGAGCGCCGACAAAGGCTAATATGCACGGTGAAGGAACACCTTCATGCGGTGCCACAGTATGCCACAGTGATGCATGTACATCTGGAGATCTGCAGTGAAAACAAGACGCCCGGCATCTACAAAAAATCCCATAATCTTTTCCGTTAAAGACTCGGTGCGGGGAGTGAGAGCTGCACCTGAATGTCTCACGCGACCGACAGTTGTGAGCATGGACCGTTAGCCCAAGCTCCGGGCCCAGGCCAGCGGCGAAGCCGCTGCCATGGAGTGCGACTGCCACAATGACACCTTCTAAAAGCCAAGGGGTCGAGGCAAATGCTCCAGCCCTCGCACCAGAAGTCACTCGCACACTGGCACTCGCAACCACCTCACCACCGCGCAAGCCCCAGGGGTCGAAAGTCACATAGTTTGGTCCTTCCAAGAGCTGAGCTTCGGCCGAGCCTCGGGACCGTCAGCCTCGGTCCTAGAAGGTCACCGCCCACGACCAGGACACAGTGGCTCCCAACCTGCACAAGGAAGGCTAGGGAAACAGAACGGAAGACCAAAATCGGAACGCACAAGGTCTGATCGCCACTCTGTGACCTCTTCTTCCAGCTCTTCCCCGGTGTGGTCGTCCTCTATCACCCCAACCTTGAAACACTCAGATTCTCTGGAACCTCTCGGCCCGCGGCTGCTAACACTAAGCAGCCCACATAGGACTCAAGGAGGACACAGCAAGCCGTCATGCGATTCTTGACCATGTCCTGCAATTGAGCCCCGTAGGCGAGGCAACAAAGGGTTTGCGGGTTCGAAATGGGGGGCCCTGCGCGACCGAAGTCGCCTGCAGGGCTGAAGACTGCTCTGACACAAGCCTTTTCACTTTTCACTCTCAATGGATGCTCTTGTCGGGCAGAAGTTCTTCTCCAATCTCGTGGTGCTTAGAACTACCCGTCTTCAAATTCGAAGCGCCAGTCCATCGGGTTGCGAACGGGGACTTGAGGTTCGCCACAGATCGCGAGATTCTTCGAACCACGCGTGCCGGCGGCTGTGCTCGTGACTTCCCTTCGACTTCAAGACAAAAAGCTCAGGCTCGCGACGGCCTCATGTGGGCCTTGGATCTGTTCAGACCGATCTTGAAAAGCGGCAACCATTCCTTCGACTGCCAAGTCGCGAATTCAATCCGATGCTGCCTGTCGCACGTCAAAATACTTGAAAACAGGCGGCTCCCTGAACTTCCAAGCACAAAACAGAAGGAAGCATGTGGCAACAGTCGTCCCTGCCTGTTTTGCAACCCGCAGTGGACGACCCCGCTTATACAGGATCAAGTCCACCACATCAGATCCAGCCACAAGCCTGTTCTGAAGCCTTGGGTTTCAACTGACCATGTGGAGCTGGGCGGGTAGCTAGGTAAGGCGGGTAAGGTAGGTAAGGTGGGTAAGGTCAGGTAGATAGGCAGGTCCTGAGGTGGGTGGGTGGGTAAGCAGGCAGTACATAGGCAGGTAGGCAAGTATGCAGGTGGGTAGGTATGTAAGTAGGATAGGTTGGCAGGTAGGCGGTAGGCAGGTAGACAGGAAGGTAGGTGGTAAGTAGGTAGGGTATAGCTAGGTAGGTCAATTGGTGGATGGGTGGCTTGGCTGGGTGGATTGTTTGGTTCATTGGTTGGTTGGGGTTGGTCGATTAATTGGTTTGGTTGGTTGGTTGGTTGGCTGGCTGGCTGGCTGGCTGGCTGGCTGGCTGGCTGGCTGGCTGGCTGGCTGGTTGGCTGGTTGGCTGGTTGGCTGGTTGGCTGGTTGGCTGGTTGGCTGGTTGGCTGGTTGGCTGGTTGGCTGGTTGGCTGGTTGGCTGCTTGGCTGGTTGGCTGGTTGGCTGGTTGGCTGGC